CTCTGCCACTTGCCAGTTGGTGAATAGTTTAAAGAGAGAAGTTACTGAAAAGCTAGCAGGGCAATCAGTCAAACCTGGTTTAAAGTATACATCTCTCTGGTAATTAGATTGTCTGAAATCTGAGGTTATAATAAACGTACTCTAGAGCTAGTAGAATAAGTATGCTGGCCTGTTCTAATCCTTTGTCTCTACTGCCCTATTTGAGTGCATTCTATGAAGAAACACTGGCTTCTTCTGAATGAGTTCATGATGAAACAAGGCTCCTATTGTAAACTTGATATGACACTCACTGCATCCAGTTGAAAGCAACCTACCTAATAGCTCAGGGTTGTGATCTGATGCTCGGATGGAATTTTTTTTTTCCTGGGAAGCTGGAGGCAAATTGGACAAGGGATTTGGAAATGAAATGGGGATTTCTGAAAAGTTAGGTGATCTCATCTCTGAGAGATTTCTCTAATGCTTTTTGGGGATATCCAAGCTTAGAAATGGCTTGGCACTGAGGCATCAAAAATTGGGTTAAAATGCTCTTAGTGATGGGTAGGGCTTCTTGGCTGGTTTTATTTGGTGTTTGGTGGGGGGGAGGGAATGAACAGTGCTTAAACTAAGACCATCAGTGTTCTGTTCACTTAATATAGGAGATAGGGTAGATTTTCACCTCATAGACTAACCAAAGTAGGTAGGTAGGGCAGGATATTCTGGAAGGCAAAGAAAGGAGAAGAAGAGACCCTAGCTCTGTGGATATAGTAGCAGTGGGCAAAGGGGCAGCCAGGTAGAAACCTACAGGCTTCATGTTAACGTCTCATGAGCCGCACGTGGCTAGCGGGCTGCCAGTTGGACAGCCCTGCTTTAAAGCGTAGCAGTCTAAATATGAACGAGAGGTCAGAAACTTTTGGGACGAACACTGTTCCTTCCCCTTTCCTGTACCCCCTTCCTCTCTGCAAATACATAAGAGAAACCCAGCTTGCTTGCTTTCTTTCTCTCCCTTAAATTATATTTGTTTTAGTTTCATAGTTGGTAGGGTCGGAAGGGACCTGAGCAGATCATCAAGTCCAACTCCCTGTCTCGGTAGGAAGAAGTACTGGGGTCAAACAACCCCAGCAAGGTGTTCATCCAGCCTCCTCTTAAAGACCCCCAGGGTAGGAGCCAGCATCACTTCTCTTGGAAGTTGGTTCCAGATCCTAGCTGCCCTGACCGTGAAGTAGCGCCTCCTGATATCTAGTCTGAATCTACCCTCTGCCAGCTTGTGACCATTATTAACCGTTATGGTCAGCTCTGTGCAAAATGGTGGCAATATGGTGGCCTGAAGTTGCTGATGTTTAGGAGGAAGAGAGTGGGAGACGCTAACAGCATTAAGGCTGGCTTTGAAGTTGACGTGTTTCTATATAACATCCTCCTTGAAACTGCAATGGGTGTTTTTTGGTGGTGGTGTGGGAAGGAGAGCAAAGTTACCCAAATGGCCATAACCTCAATTACATACTTCAGGATGTGGTTGTGTGTGACTAAGTCTTTATGTAGGCTTTCTTAAGTTTTATAATATTTGGCTTTGAGAGAACTTCAGCAGTGAATATTTAATAGAATCATAGAAAGTTGGGGATGGAAGGGACCTCAGGAGGTCACCTCGTCCAACCCTCTGCTCAAAGCAGGACCAGCCCTAGCTATATCATCCCAGCCATGGCTTTGTCTACCTGGGTCTTAACCTCCAAGGATGGAGAGTCTACCATCTCTCTAGGTAACCTATTACAGTGCTTTACTACCCTCATGAGAGAATTTTACCTAATATCTTACCTGAACTTCCCTTGTTGCAACTTTAAAACCATAGCTCCTTGTTCTGTCATCTGCCACCACTGAGAATAGTCTAGTTCCATCCTCTTTGTAACCACCCTTCAGGTAGTTGAAGGCTGCTATTAAATCCTCTCTGTCTTCTCTTCTGTAGATTAAATAAGCCCAGTTTCCCCAGCCTGTCCTCAGCAGTCATGTGCCCTAGCTCCCTAATCATTTTTGTTGCTCTCCTCTGGACTCTCCAATTTGTCTACATCCTTTCTGTAGTGGGGGGAAGGGGCTGAGGGAGCAAAACTGGACACAGTACTCCAGATGTGGCCTCAACAGTACTGAATTGAATGGAGTAATCACTTCCCTCTATCTGTTGGCTACACTTCTACCAGTGCAGTCCAGTATGCCATTAGCCGCCTTCTCAATAGGGGCACACTGTTGGCTCATATTCAGGTTATTGTCCATTGTGACCTTTTCTGCGGAGTTACTGCTTAGCCAGTCCCTGTACTGGTGCATGGGATTCATCCCTAAGTGCAGGATTTTGTACTACTCATTATTGAACTTCATGAGATTTCTTTTTGTCCAATCCTCGTTTTCTCTAGGTCTCTCTGAATCCTATCTCTATCCTCCAGCATATCTACTACTCCTCCCCAGCTTGGAGTCACCTGGAAGTGTACTGAGGGTGCACTTCATCCCATCTCTCGAGTCATTGATGAAGATACTGAATAAAACCAGTCCCAGGACTGACCCCTGGGTCACTCTACTTGATACTACTGCCAACTAGACATTGAGCCACTGATTACTACTCTTTGAGCACCACAGTCCAGCCAGTTTTCTATCCACATTACAGTCCATTCATCTGACCTGTATGTCCTTAGTTTGCTTGTGAAAATGATGCAGGTGGCGTATCAAAACCTTTGCTCAAGTCCAGGTATATTATGGTCACTGTTGTCTCCTCATCTACAGAACCAGTGATCTCATCATAGAAGGCAGTCGGGTTGGTCAGACATGACTTGCCCTTGGTGAATTCATGCTGACTGTGCCTAATCTCCCTCTCCTCCAAGTCCATAGAAATGGATTCCATAGGGATCTGCTCCATGATTTTTCCAGGGACTAAGGTGAGGCTGACCAGCCTGTAGTTCCTTAGATCCTCGTTCTTCCCTTTCTTAAAGAATGGCACTATATCTGTCCTTTTTCAGTCATTCGGGATTTCTCCCAATCACCATGAATTTTCAAAGAATGGCTAGCAGCTCTGCAATCACAGTAGGTGTATCATATCTAGCCTCATTGACTTGTACACGTCCAACTTTTCTAAATAGTCCCTAACCTGTTCTTTTGTCTTTGTTGGCTGCTCATCTACCTCCTCCCCAAACTGTGCTGCCAGCTAATTAGTTGATTTTTCTCTTTGAAAATCACTGTAAATTTTCTTTTTGAAACGACTGCTGTTTTCTCAGCCTTAACAGAAGCTAACATTTTTACTCCCTATTTCAGCTCACGTTTTTCTCATGCTAGCTGGGTCAAATAGTTGTCTTTTAAGTGATTTCTGAATATTTGCCCTCAAAAGTTCACAGAAGCTTTGAGTGCATTCTTTGTACTATCTGAAAGCTTATAGTTGATGATGAATCAGCATTTTCATGAACACAAGCTATGAGGTAGCCTTTTTGCTAAGCTTCCTAATTTCAGAAAAGATTTGCAAAGATAAATCATAGCTAACATGGCTATTCAGACAAAGAGGGAATTTCCACAAAAATCTGTGACAACTGTGGGAAAAGCCCAACTCTAAAGGTTAGGCCTTTCATCATGTGTTTTAGGTGGTCAGAAGTTCTTTGCACTTATGCTGACAAAATCAAGACTGAAATGAAAAGCAAGCGATCTGACTGGAGTATTCTCTGTGGCTTTTCTAGGATTGTTGAAAGTCATGTACTTGGAAGGCATTTTATTGATGGGGGTGAGAGAGGAGAGAGAGTATTCATCTCAATACTGAGTTATTTTAAGTCTGTATATGTTCCTCTTAGCATTCTTCAGAGACTGAGGTAATAAGTAAGCTATATTATCATCTCTGATTTATTCACAGGCTATTAAAAAACATGACTTCCTTGGACTAATGCACTGAATAATTTCTCTGACTAGATGTGGAGACCACATGCAGAAGTAGCATATGATGGAGCATAGGTTAGACTCATAGGCCCACTTACACTTGCTGTTGAGTACATATAATGGGATTTCAATTGGTGCAACTGACAACTGGAAGAGAGGGCAAGATAACGGGATATAGCTGACTTGACCATGGCCAGATAACCCCGATGGCCAAAACAATGACCTTTTATCTTTTTATTGAAAACTAGCAGAGTTACTTTGTCTTGACTGGGAGTTTTGCCATTGCTGCTGTGCTCTGCAGAAGCGGTCAGTTAAAACCTCTTATTTGGTGCAAAATAAAGCTGCTGACTGATACTTGCTGCAGGTATTCTACCACAGCAGGTCTAGGGCCCTTCTGTCTTCTTGTCTGCTTCTGGGGTCAAGTTGATGTTGATTCACAGTGTCAGATCTGGCATAAATTCAAGCTTTTAGAGATGCTTTCTGTTTCTGTCTGGAGCCATTGGGGGTTAGAACCAGTTGGGGCCCATAAGTTTTTTTTTTTAGATTCAGATGTCTGCAGATGTGGAGCAGTGTATTCCTTGAGTTCATGCTTTGTATGGCTTTGACCAAGGGTTTGGGGATCTTTGTGGCTTGGTTTTAAAACCCTTCCTTCTGGGGCAGGGAGGGAAGGGGGTGGGGATGTTTCAGATAAAATGTAGCTTTAATTCTGTTTTGACCAAGTCGGGACAGTACATTTGGTAAAAATGCTCACAACTAGTACAAATGATGGCATAGACCAGTGGTGTTGTAGGCTGCAGATCTTCCTAAAAATCTCACTGTAGAAAAAGGGTCATTCTTGACAGGTGACTTTGTGTGGGTAGAAGATGGTGTATGTCTTCAGCTTTCCGTGAGACTTCTATATTAAATCTTCTATCCTGTTTTCTGCCATTTTTATCTGCTTCATGTGTGCCTAGATAACAAAAGAAGAATTCTTTATAGTGTAACATATCTTGCTCTCCGAGCCCTTTTTAAAATCTATGTTTTTAAAAATCTTTAATATATACAAGACTGCTTCATGGTCCGCGCTGTTTACTTATAGATATATTGCATGGTGGAAATTTATCACGTAGCGGCAATGCAAAGCTCCTTTGTATTAGTCTTTGTCTCTAACATAGGGCTGCAAAACTCCTGCTCTGAGAAGTTCATTGTAGACTGCTGTCTCGTCACTCGCAGACTCGTACAGAGAGGATGCCCTCTGTTGAAAATAGGTAAAAACATTTATAGTACCTGTCTTTGATTTTGTTTGTGTTGTCAAAGTAATTTCAGGGGAAACCTGTGTGTGGGGGGGGTGGGCGGTGGGGGGTGTCTTTGGTGTTATGTTGAACTAACTTAGCTGCTTTCTTTGAGAGTGTAAATTTCAAAGAGAGTTAGTTCCCTGGCCATGTGACACAACATAGTGACTGAAAGACTTTTGGCCAGACAGTTAAAAACCAGCCAAAGAATCCAAGTGACTATAATTACACTGCTGCAGCTAGAACAAACAAGAAATACTAAAAAATAGGAAATCTGTGGTTACTGTTACCCAACACTGAACTTTATCATTGTATTTTCACTGCTTCCTGCAAATGAGTAGAAGTCAGTCATGGAGAGCATTTATTTATACATGTGCTCAGAGGGCAGGCTTTAATTAAAGTGCCTAGAGAGCTGCTCTAATCAAATGCCTGAAGCGTCATGTGTATCAGTGTCCCCACGCTGAAAAATGGCAGTGGGGGGTGCTTTAACTAAAACTTGTCGAATGAGCTTCAGTTAAAACACCCCACCACCATTTTGCAGTGTGGGGATGCTGATACACATGACATTGGATTCTGATGGAGCTCAGTAATTGCCATGCTCCAGCAGACTTGATTAATCAATCTGATGCGCTATAATTATAGTGCATCGGAGCAGCTTTGATGCACATGTAGTGGTGCCCAGAGAGCTTCATGACATTTCAGGTATGAATGATTTCCAGTGGTACACTTTCCAGTTGTGTGTTATTACAACTGGTAGCCATGTGAGATCTCTGCTGTATATATTGTGAGTATCAGGACAGGGTATAAGCATGTCCTTGGGATCCAGGCTTGAATTTGGAAAAGCCATAAGCTTATTAGCACATGGTACACAGTGAGTAGTAGATGCTCAACTGCTACTATGGGGTACAAGACCTGGACTGAGCAGGAAAAGAACATAGTTTGGGGTGTAAGGGTA